ACTAATCATTGGAATTAACAACAGCAAAGCAAGTTCACAAATCAATAACGTAAATACTTATTTACCATTACTATTATGTAATACCCTTCAAATCATTTCATTCAATTAATCATTCATTCAGTATGTGAGTTAAAGAACATTTATTAACCATCGAAATTTTGAACAGAAAAGCAAGTTCACAAATCAAGAACATAAATACTTATTTACCATTACTATTAATGTATTACGGTTACTACATTACAGTTACGGCATTACGATTATGGCATTACAGTTACGGCATTACAGCATTACAGTTATGGCATTACAGCATTACGGCATTACGGTGTATAATATTTACGGCAATCAGGTACTGTGGTAGAATGCCGTAATGCTGTAATTCAGTAATTCTACTGCCAACTATAACTACAACAGAGTGTATAGTTTATGGACAAGTTAATATGCATGTATAATTCTTAGCATATTATTAGACAATCTGGCATTGTGACTTTGTGTAACATTCCGAATAATACTTTAAAAGTAGGTACTAGGAACAAATGCCTCTACATACAAAATCTTGGAATTGATTAGTCTGTATAACTTATTCATCATTCAATATTTTTTTAAAAAAACATAAATAAACATATACATCTGTAAAATCAAAGATGTTATAACAAATCATAGTAAAAATAAATTTTTTAGACACAAAATTAGTAACACAATATAAATTTAAAAGCCTCAATGCTAAATAATTAGTAATTTTTATTTATTCTCATCAAATTTTTATTGGGCTGATAAATAATAATCACTAATTGTCAAAGACTTTATTAAAAGAATTTGTTGATCATTTTCAAATATGCTAAATTATGTTTCATAGATTTTAATGTTTTTTTGCAAGGCCTCAGAATTTTGGGTCATTTTCATTAGAACCAAGTGACACTAGCTAACTAACTATATAGCAGTTAGGCATTGACTTTATTAATAGGTTTTTAAGCTTGGTTACTAAAATTTAAACCAATATTCAGATTGCAAGTACTTTTATAAAATGATATTTTTTTATACCAAAAATGGATTGCAATAAAGAATATGGTTTTTCATGACTGAAATTGTGTCTGCATAGATTTTTTCTGTTTTTGGTTTTGCACAACTATGTTGTGCAGCTACTTATTATTATTCTTGTTTACTATTATAGCTAAATCAAATCCTGTAATTATAAAGTTTTTTAAATTAACAAAATAATCTTTATTTATTATTTAATTGTTTTATTAATCAAATTAATTCTATTCTATCATGTAAATTATATTTCTAATAATTAACAATATTTTTATTATTATTATTTAAGCAAACTATTAGAACCAAATTAAATGTTATATAAAAATATTTTTATATTAAAGCATATTACTTATAATTATTATTTTTTTGATAGTCATTCTTGTCATCTTGGATGCTGGCTTTTCACATGTAAAGTAACCATTGAACTTGTTGGAAAATATGTATCACAAATAGAACAACAAAGTTTTTTATAATTAGTTAAAAAAGGACAATGCATATCATAACCAGGTAGTTTGTTTATATCATAAAACTCTAATGTATAAATTAAATTAAGATAGTGTTTATCATTTTCTTTTACCAGAGGAGGAAGAAATCCATTATTTAATGCAAGAAGATTGGTAGCATCTTTACAACATTTAGGCATGCAACAAGATATATTATCACATTTTTTAATATCAAGAGAATATTGACACATTTTTGTATGATTTTCTAGCCATTTCCAAGGAATAGTAGACTTAACAATATTATTTGTATCATATTCAGGAAATGTAACATTATTAAAGGATGAAGTATGTTGATCAATATAGTGTGTTATAACTGAATTTCCAAAGATAGGATCCCAATTCCACAAATTATATAAAGTTTCACCAGCATACTGGAAATTTTTTTTTGCAAGCTCTTGGTTAATTACTTCACCCTGAGAATTAAGATGGATACCATACTTATCAATTGGTAAGACTATTCCTGCAAGTTTTTGTGAAAGTGTAGCCATGCCATGTTCAACAGGATTATAAGCTGAATGATAAGGTGTATGAGTTCTAACTGTAAGATAATCAAGATTAAATTCATAAAACATTTTACAATACTGAACAATATTTTTTAAATATCATGAATTTTTATCTGGGCCTCCATCTACCAAAAGAACCCAAATAGGTTTGATTAAACTATTATCTTTTAATATTTTGTTCAGATAATTATTTTTAGTTAATGATTTTAAATCTTCTATATGTGAAGCTGAATTAGTTCTGACTTGGTATTGTGGACGTATAAATATTGCAAGTTGACAATTATAAGAAATATTATTAATATCACTTGAATTTGTTAACATATAAACTGATAGTATCAGTTTTTGTTGCTTTTCAATAGAAAAATCATGATCAGATAATGTAACAAGTTCTTGAAAACTCTAAATAGTTTTAAAAGTTTTTTCAACCACAGGAATACCAAGAGGAATTTTAGACTTATTATTTTGTGATATTACTACAGAATGACTAAAAAATCTTGCTACAAATTGCTTCACTCCTTTTACAGAAGCAAAACAATAATGTACATCAGGATGCTCTTTTTTTTCATTTCTACAGACAGAAGAGATCGCAATACCTGCAAGATGATGATGGGCTTTTGCAGCTATAGAATTTGAATGATAAGGTAATAGGTAATTATTGAGACCAGAACATGATAAATATTCATTATACCTAGTTCTAAGATCTTCTTGTAAATAATTAATAATAAGAACCTTTATGCTTTCTTTTCTTCTTTTTTTATATGCAGCACCAAATTCAACATATTCATGGATATGCTCAAGTAAATTTGGATAGTTAATAATGAATAACAGATGACCTGAAGTATTATATTTTTCAACTATTTGCTTTTTATATAAAAGTTTTGTTTTTTTTTCTCTACACTTATGCTAATAGATTGCATTACGCTTTAATTTTGTGATTTGTTTATTCTATAGTCTAAGGTTTCCTTAAGAGTTTCAATAAGTTCTAATAAGATTTTCCAAGTTTCTAGATCAATTGTAGTATTATACTGTCATTGATATTTAGCAAGTTTCAAATTAGTTTCATTAATAATGTTTACAGCTTGCCACTATGCTATAGCATTAGGTGAAGGAGTATCAGATATAATAATTTCTTCAATAAGCTCTGGTAATGAATCTGATTTGGTTAAGACTGGATTGAGTTTTTTAGATATTCATTAATTCTACTTTCAATTATTAGCTTAAGCTTGTTATGAATCTCTTTCCATGCTGCATTACATTCTATATATAGAATTGACTTGGGATACATAGGATTTTTTCTATTTAACATCCAATCATAACTAAAAGCATTAACAAACCTTTAATATTGGTTTGTAGGACACTTATAAATATAATTTTTATTATATTCGGATGCCATATAAAAAAAAATAGAGTTTTAAATAATGATACATTAGTTGAGTAAAAATATAATTTATAGAATGAATGTTTGAAATAAAGATATTTTTAAAAGTTATTCTAAGCAATAGCAAGAAAAATGGTTATCAAGTAAGTGAACCTTATACAATATTTATTCTTTTAAAATTCTTTACTTATACAAATTTATATTACTATTTTACACTTTCACTCAAGTTTGTATTTTTTATGCAAATAGTTTATTATAGTGATTATAAATTATTTGAATTACTTCACTAATTAGACTATGTACATTAAATTTTTATTTATGTAAAGCATTATTTTATCTTTGCCTCATAATTAAAATGAGTAGTAATGTAATTAACTTGGATTAAAATTATAAACTATGCATCTAATCATGTGACTCAAAAATGTCTTTTTTATCATACTAATTTAATGGCTAATGACAGAATTTGTTAAAAGTCAAAATTATCTTAGATGATTCGAATATTTATTTTTAGAATATATTTTAATTTATCATAAATGACTAAAAATTGCATATATAAGTGGCTTTTATATCTTGGTTCACTAACAATTTGATATTTTTACTATCTTTATTCAATTAAAATTAAAATTTTTTAGAATTTAATTCACTTTTTTTTTAATTAAATAGAGCCTAACACAAGACTCTAAATAATTTATATTAAATATTTGAATAAGAAATCATTTCACGATTGCACAATTTGAAAAATATTTATATAAACTACAATATACAAATTTTATTGAAAATTGTTATTTTGCAAACAGTGATATAAATAAGAATGCTAATTGCTCAATCGACTCTATTGATTACTATACAGCACTGGCTACAGTACCCCCCTGCTATAATACCTCTATATAAAAGTCCCAAGTACAATTCATGGGTTCATAATTCAGAAAATTGAAAAAGACCTGAAAATTATTCTAGATAGATATATATATATTTAGATTTGAGATTCTTATAAAATAATATTAAAACCCATGCAAAATACCCCCTATTATAATACTTTTACCCATAATTAGTACTCAGGTAGGTACTATTCAAGAAATTTAATAGTTTATTAAAAAGTACCCAGGATACTGTAGTCAGTGCCATATGGTAATCAGTCTATAATAATAAATACACAAGCTGTATTAAGTCATTAGCATTTCTAGATATGGATATTAACTAAACAAGGCACTTAAAATAAATTATTCAGTTTATTATATTACTTTTTTGAAATTCTTGATTTATCATACACTAATTGTGTTAGAATTATTTAAACAAGGCATTCAGATTTATAACCTTTTGTTTCAAAATAATGAAGCTTATAATATTTATTTAGTTTTATTCACATTAGTAATTAATGGTTAATATTAATGAATTTATATATTATGTCTCTTATTTAATTTAGCTTAATGGCATTATTTGACAATACAATACAATACAGCTCTGAAGTGCACACTCTATAAGTGCACACCCTCTCTAAATGCACACTCAAATTCATACCCAAATATATATATGACCATAAATACATATTGTTAAAGTTTGATCCCAAAAGCATGCATTTATAGAAGTTTTACTATATATATTTTGGTCAGAATTTGAGTGTGTATTTAGAGAGTATGTGTACTTATAGAGGATGCATTTATGAAGGTTTTACTATAGCACTCTTATAAGTTAAAGTGAAGCTATACTATGCATTTAGAGTGAATTTACATAAAAAGTGACTTATAGAGATACTTAAGAAAAGCTTTAGCTTACAGTATTCATATACTTTATTATTTAATACTTTGAACAGTTGGCATTTATACAGCATCTGAGATCTTATTTAAGGGCTTATTAAATTGAATAGTACCCATAGATAAAGATGCAAAAAGTTTGAATTAACTCAACTTTAAATAAGTATCCTTATCAAAGCTTTATTTAAAGTCAAGTTTATAAATCAACCCATACTTATACATCTCATTTATTTAATATAGTAAACCTTGGATTTTGATCTTTTAATCTTTTAAAGTTTTCCAGTTGAAGTCAACTCAAAAAAGTCAACTTAAAAAACAGACTTTGGATTGAATTTTCATATCTCTATAGATAAAATCATTAAAAAGATGTTCCAAATTACTTCTTTGACTATTATTTTCAAAAAAATTTTTTTATTTTCTATATAGTAATTAATTTATGAACTTTTATTATCCATTTAGCATTTATTAATGTAAATATTTATATATGCTATTTAAATTCATAAATATTTTTTATTTGATTTTATTTTTCGCATTGCCTTAATGAGCATAGAGAATCTTTATGTTAAGTGAATAAGAAACATTCTATTAATCTAAATATAAAAACAAATATTTATGAATCTAAGTATTCAAAATATACTATTCAAGTTCATAAATTAACTTTTAATATTAATACAGTATATGCATAAATATAAGAAATATTTACTAATCTAATAATTTAAAAAATCTATTCAAGTTCATAAAAATTTACTCTAATCATTTTATTCACATTAATGTTGATGAGTATTAAGTGAATTTATTTATATAAGTATTTAAAATAAGTTATTCAAAATAAATTATTCAAATAAGTTATTCAAATTTGTAAATATTTACTTTTTAATTTTGTTGCACTTTATTCCTATGTACTATATTATCATGAATTAAGTTACAGTTATTGTATAGATTATAGAAAATAACTATATTATTGCATAGGTCTGACATAACAACTTGTGTGACATCTTTTATATCACACAAATTAATAACAATAAATTAACTAAATCAGAACACTTTCATATTTTATCAAATATGGAAGTGTTTCGATTTAGTCATGTTTTTAAACATATTGTATAAATGAGCAAAAAAAGCACGGGCTGTTATGTCAGACCCGTGCAATAAAGATTATATTATTTTGTGAACAGTAGTATTCTGATCAGGTTGATCTGAATGACCCAAAATAAACCCAGTTATAATGAATTTACTATATAGGTCATGCTCCAACTAATAAATTTATTATAACCAGATTGGTTTTGGGTCATTTGGGTCAACCCAATCAGAGCACTAGTGAACAGTAACATATTTATTAAGTCTATTAAATTATAAATCTGGATAATCCTTATCTGTAATTGTAATGCATTACTTATATGTATTTAATCTCTCTTTGAGGTAGAAACACTACAAATAAGGAAATGATCCTGATTATGCATATTAGTTTAGCCAATTAAAAACATAAATTCTTATCATATAAAAAGTATCACATCATATAGGCGATTCTAGTGATTATTAAAAATAATTTATAAAATTGATTCAATTATTCATATAATATTGCGAAATTGCTGGTATCAAATATTAAAAATATAATCAAATTGAATTATAAAAATTGATTGTCTTTTGAGTTATAAATTGCTTATGAAACTGTCATAAAACCATTTATAAAATCAATCATTTTGTTGTATTTGATTGGTCAATTAATTACATTTTTATTATTCAGAGTAATAGGCAGAAGTTTGTCTGATTGGCTAATAAATTTAATTTAATTTTATATTATTTATACAGTTAAGAGTACTTTTTTTTAAAAAAAAGAAAACTAATCATAATTAAATAAAAAAAAGCTGTATAGAAAGTTTCATTAGAACTGTAGAACTCCGTAGCCAAAAATAAGATCTAATTCTTGTCTATTTAAAAAAGTTAGTCTAGTAATAACTTCTTAAACCCTGATAAAATCAACTTATTACTAAGCTAATTTTTTTAAACAAACAAGAATTAGATCTTATTTTTGGCTATGGAGTCCTACAGCCTTAATGAACATTCTATACAGCTTTTTTATTTCATTTATGATTAGTTTTCATTTTTTTTTAAAAGTACTTAAACTGTATAAATAATGTAAAATTAAATTAAATTTATTAGCCAATTAGACAAACTTCTGCCTATGATATTTGAAGTGGTTATATGGTTCTATTGTATCACTTATTTTAAATAATCACAATATTCTCATCAAAAATTTTTGCCCATATGTGTTGATTAGCCAATCAAATTGTAAATTTTTATAAAATGAAAAAAAACGAAATTTAATTAAAATTTATAACTAAAGTTCAGAATAAATGCCATTAAATACTATTAATTTTTCCATAGTATTTATTTACAAAACTTTAATAATAATAATAATCTAATTCTATGTATAATTCTATAGCTAATTCTATGTTTAATCTATGTTTAATTCTACATTTACTCAAATTTTCAATCTTTTACACTATAATATCTTATACAATGTTCATTTTTATAAGATATCTTGTAATTTTGATATATAACATATATAAACATCTTATTATATCTTAAAAATTCCTATTATGATAATATTAATAAATTATATAGTTAATTAATATTATTCGTATATTTCGATTTTCTAAAAGATTTCTATATAGCATATATAATAAAAAAATATACAAACTAATTCCTTCCTTTTATACTATCACTGTTAAACATTAAGTTTTTTTTTATTTTTTTTGCTCAATAAATGAGATTTTGTAAGTGTAGTTGTAGTTAATTGCTTATAACTTCGATCAATGAAGTGTAATATAAAAGTTGGATTAAAATGAATTCAATGAATATAATGTAGGGTATAGTTAGTGGTAGAATTATTGAGCTACAGCATTACAGTATTTTACCAGATGGTAGAATTAATTATGGCACAGTACCTGATTTGCCAGAAATATTATATGCTGTATTGTTATATTGCCGTAATTCTGTATTGCTGTATTGCCATATTGCCATAATGCAATAGTATCGAAACAATTCTTGAATGTGTGCCAGGTTATAATCTATCTGAACCTATAAAAAAAATCTTTAATTAATTGTGCAACCAATCTATTCAAATTGATCAAAAATGCTACACAGAACAATATTTTAAGCAAATACAGACTTAGATAACTGAATTCAGTTATGTGATTTAGTGTCATGTGGTCACGTGATCTGGAGTATTTTTAGTTTTAAACTCAGATCATGTGACCTGCTCTTCAGAACTATAATTGTGTCATATTAGCTAAGCCCAGCCATGTAACTTTAACTAAAATCAAATGACTGACTCTAGGTCAATACTGGGTCAGTCTAATAAAAATTTCCAGGAGGGTGGTAATTACCTAATACTTGTAAATACCCTAATATTAATTATATGATTAGTTGGATAAATTCTTATAGTAATACATTATTAAGCAATAGTACAACTTCTGTAAATAAAAAAATCAATATATGGACTATTCTCTGGATCAAATACAATATTTCTTTTAATCATATTTTAACTATCCAAATCTAGGTGAGTCTTGACCACTCTAGTAGGTTTAGGTTGCAGATAAATATGTCTGAGCTTTACTCTTGAATGTAGTTTTCTTCTTTTTGTACTTAAGCTAGTTATATATAGTTAGCAGTTTAATGGTTAGCCCTAACTGCAAGTGTAGATCTCGGTGGTCGCCGTATCATTAAAAAATTTTTATACATAGTAACTTTATGAAGTTACTAACTTTAAAAACTACCAATAAAGATATGAACAAGGCCTCACCTTAACACCAAAAAAAAAAAAAAATAGTACCAATAAGAAATGTTTTAGTTTTTTCGATCCTAGAGCCAGAACCCATCATATTGTTTCCAATTGCACACTCTTAACATCACCTTATATCTAATTTAAGTAAGGCAGGTGGAGTCAATGTCCATTTCTAGCATAACAGGTTGGTCTAGATTGATCTTACTTTAATTAAAGGGGTGATTGGATCCTGCATGAAGGCTTGTGTACTTTCATATGACTTCTTTTGGGACTGAGCACACATGTTTCAGATGGATCATTATAGGCAACTCAAATTAGATAAGTGTGCCACAATGATGTTCATTTCGCAGATTCTATAAGATGTCAGTTTTATCTCTAACACTTTATAAAAGACATAATAAAACTTTTAGATATGCTAATTATTATATACTTACTTGTACTGACTCCAAGTGTTCTTATCTTAAGTCAGTTACAACTAAAGATAAAAAAAAAGAACTTGATATTGAAAAGACATTTAACAATGTTCAAAAAACAAACTTCAAGCTATAACTTATATACAACTTATTAAAACTTATTAGAAATGTATTTAATATATTATATAATACTTACTTAAAAGAAATTAAAGCCTGGAATGAACCCTTTTTTGATGCTTCAATATTCTATATTTATTATCTAACAATACTCTCACTACTTAACTATTTGAAATAAAACAAGCCTTATAATTCTACTTTTAAGACTATTTTAAAAAACTACCATATATACC